ACATATGCTCCTATTCGCTACTGAGTGGTTCAAAACTACGTGGCAACGTAAACATGCATTTTTAACTAGAATCCCCTGTATATTGTAGTATATTATAAAAGATCTTATTAAAGGAATTGTTGATATAGCATATTTTGCAGTTTAAATTGCTACTTCTCTAGCTACGGATATTCCTAAAAACATTCACTGGCGAGAAACTATGGCATATACCAGTATTTTGAAGAAAGGTTTGCTACTGATTTGCAAAAGTGACTGATTTCCAACATGACTAAGTTGGAACATTTTTTAGGACTATCTGTTTTTATGCGGATGTGAATCAGAAAGCAGCATATTTTTCAGGTGGAAAGCGTGTAGCCGCCCATAATTTTTGTGACTAACATTTTTAGATGATTCTTAAAATCATGGAACGATCGACCGACACATTAAAAACGCACTCTGTAAGTCATAGCATTGCTATGGAATAATACATACCTCGATTTGGGAGCCGTTTTCGTAAAGTTATAGAGTAGTTTGGTATTATTGCTTAAAGATTGTAAGTTGTTCTAAAAATTAGGAATACATTGAAAAATAACTAATATAAATGTTGAATTAGTTTGTCCTATCTTGTAATAATGACTAGTTACCTCTAGAATCATCAGGCAGCTCTTGAAACGGAAACATATTTCTGAGAATGAAATCAACATTATGTAGGCTGTGCAAGATAAATTTATACCAATGCAGTTCTCTATAGCTTAGCTAGTTCCATACAAATATAAATAATTCCCGCGCATTCAGAGTGGAATGGATCGCATCAAACGGGCGTCTAGCTGAATGTATAAAGCTGGTATTTGTAGCAGCTTCATGAATAATGCGGTTGTGCACCGGTGTGTTTTATTCCATTTTTCCCGGAGTTTGACCGGAATATCTGAGGAATGCGGAATTATAGAGAAGGCCGTTAGATATGACGTAGCCTTGGAGTAACCGACCTCATTTTCTATCCTTATAGACCGATTGACGTTAACCGCTTTCAGTTACTTTGATAAGAGTTATCAGTCCTGAGCTGTTTTCCAGTAACCCAGTTGAGATGCTCACACTAGCTTGCTACCTCAGTAGTTCTGCATTCTGCCAGAGTGCCCGGCACTTAAGGGTCACATTTATATACGTTCCTTGAGGATTAAATGCTGTTTGATGAACTATCCCTACTTGAATTTTAAATAAACAATAATGCCCCCTTGAGGAACGCTCAAACGAGGACTCAACATTTGCATTTCACAGTATACTGTAATTGTTGTCAGTTGTCATGGATTCCAGAAAGGTTTTCTTCTAACGCTACTGGGCGAGAAAGTATTTTACTCGTGAAAATTTTCGAAAATCAGATATTAATGTTTACTCGAAAACAAATTTATTGATGGAATCGGGTTCATAAGGAAATAGCATTTGAGACAGTCAAGTGTGGAAAATCACATCAGGCATGTGGTAGCCGAAATCGTTGATGCAGTGCTGGAGGCGTTCTTGGAAGTTCGCGTAGACTCTCTCCAACATCGCTCTCTCGACTTGGGCGACTTCCACGCGAATTTAGCCCTTCAATTCGTCCAGAGTTCGGGGCTTGTTCGCGTATACTCTAGCCTTGAGGTGTCCCCATAAGAAAAAATCGCATATGGATAAATCTGGGGACCGAGGAGGCCAATGAACATCGCCAAACCTGGAAATGAGGCGACCAGGGAAGAGAGGGCGAATAACGCCCATGGATGCTCGGGCTGTGTGGGCGGTCGCCCCATCCTGCTGGAACCACACACGTCGGATTGGAACATCACGCCCATTACCGTCTTCGAAGAAGTAAGGGCCAATGATGCAAGTTTGCGATACAGCGTTACTTTTGGCCTGTGCAGCGGTGTTTCGTGTACTGTTGCGGATTTCCGAACGATCACTAAGGCGAAGTGCAGCAGCATGTTTCCGGGCAGATCGAGTCGGACTGCGAAGAAAGACCTGTCGAACTTTTTAGGAGTTCGAACTGTTCGCGGCGCTCCTCTTGGTCTTCTGTTGATCAGTTCACCATGCCTGCGAAGTGATTCAACCCAACGAAGGATGGTGTTTCGAGAGGGAACAGCTCTATTCCGATGAATGTTGAAGTGGCGACGAAACTCACGCTGTACGACGATGACTCATTATTTCGGACGAAACAATCATAGGCGAAAACGCGGTGCTCCACCGTCCAAGGCTCCATAACGACAACTGGTAAAATAATGCTAGGATCTCACGAGTCAAACGGCACCCTCCCCACCACTCTCGTCGACGGAGGCGGAGAGTACTACCCATCCCAAAAACGTCCGTCCTCTCTGCCGCACCCTGTATAACATGTTTATCACGAAAACGTTGCAATTTCCATCGGTATGTCTGTCTGTTGGTCTGTCCGATAATCCTTAGCGCTTCTATCACTTGGAAAATACTGCTCTAATTTGGATGAAATTTTTACTTAACTATGGTATGGACGAAAAAAAGCTTTGTAGTTTTTATAATATAATCTTTATCTTTAATCACTTAGATACAGAATAGCACATGTGGTGAAAAAACAAATAAGTAAAATAAAATAAATACGCTATATAATATAAATAAAATGTATAAACATATAAGTAAAATCAATATAAATATAACAATTCATATAAATGTTCAATTCCATCTTCAAGTACTCAAGGTTGTACATTCCATATATTCACTTACGTTATAAAATGCATTTGATGCTAATTATTCACATGTCATACGTTTCCACATATTTGTCTTTATAACTATGATTGATGGAGAAATATTTTCGATGCGCGTCTTCTTGCAAAAATCCAATACGGCGTCCATAATAAAAATTAAAGTTGATGCTGGAGGACAAGAGACGAAACGTCATATTGAAATTCTAGTTATGCTTTCTTGTAGGTGAGGAAAAGTGGCAATCTTATTTTGAAATCCCAGTACAAATAAAGTCAGGAAAACTATCAGAAAAATTATGTTTTTTCCGTCTCTCTCCGGAAGTATTTTGAATTTCGAAACTTTCTAAGCAGCATTTTGGTGGTACACAACTTTGCCCCCATTTAAGAGACTTCGTATCTCCAACAGTTTAAGAAATTCCAATGGTGAGGGTCGAATTTGAAACATCGTGTATACTTAGCATTTTGATGATACATTATGGACGGTTTTCTGTGCTACATTTTAGAGAGATATGCAAAATAGTAATGAAAATTGTATGCTTTTTAATCCTTATAATGAAAAAATGCCAAAAAATAGATGTCCAGATACAAACAAGATAAGTTATAGGAAAGTCGAAAATAAAAAAAAATCCTCTTTGCTTGGGGATCTATAATGAGACTGACAGGGTGAATAGAACATGCAAAAAAATATGGGAAAACAAAATAAAAGTAAGTAAAACGCGTATATAATACCAGCTAGGAAAATAACGAGTCTCTATGAAATCTACGTCTTTTATGGTAACTAAGCTTGTTGAAAAAGCAATCTTTTTTTCTTCCCTGTCCCCTGTACCCGGTGCTTCAAGCATAAAAAAATGCTGTTTCTATAAGTTCACACTGCAGCGGATCCCGTGGAAGATCAACAAAATCGTAAAACTTAATCAAGTTTAATTTTATAATTTATATTTTGGGATTTTCGGGTCGAATTACTAAGCCTACAAAATGGTAGAATTGGTGTAATGGATCTAGAACAGGGGTCGGCAACCTGCGGCGGTTTTGGTGTCAAGTTGCAGCTCCTGTTCATAGTAAATCCTCTCAACATAAATATTTTGGAATTAATGTTGGTTCGTTTGAAATGCAATTGCTGGTTTTTGTAAATTGTAACTTTTGGTTATTCCGTCTCAAAAGGTTGCCGACCCCTGATCTAGAATCAAAATTGATAGAACTGTTCTAGAATAAGATTTTTTCTCAAAAAAGGCTTATTTTGTCGACAGCATTTTTCCGGCTCAATAATTATATAAATGTATATTATTTTCAAATAGATAGGTCATTTAATTGACTGATAGCAATTTTCTTCAGTAGATTTCAGAAGCTTGCTCTGAAAATATAACTACTAAATTATGAAAATTGTACTTAATTTCTCGGATATAAATTCATAACCTAACTCACAATATGCGATTCATAAATACATCTGTATTTGCGCTGCCACAGATTGACATCCAAAAGCGGATTTCCATAGAATGATCCTCAATGACAGAGAGTGAAATATCCACCAATGAACGCCGTTTCAGTGTATAGCTTGGTTACGGTGCGTTATTTTTGTCCCATTCAATACTAGCTGCACGTAAAAGCATAGGCGGAGCTACTATGAAACACACTTGGTTTCATACAGTATCTTCATCTATAAAATAACCGAAGATGTGATTAAATTTGGATGATGAATCCGCCGGAAAAGGCTAATAAGTAATTCTTACATCGATACCAAATTACTCGGAAATTTGTGGCAAATCTGACGAACCTATCTGGAAGGAAACTGAACTTACTCATTCTGGTCAGTAACAATCGTCTCATGATAGATGTGATAGAACGTTGTATTTGGAAACACATTTTAAGAGGCAAGATGGATTTTAGCTCATTAAGATCTAATCAAACATTAGTAATTTAGTTTTTAGTATGTTAGCCCAAAAATACTTTTGTTTTCCTTTATCTCTCGCAGTCAACCCAAAAGTATGGAAAAGAATTGTAGTGAACGCCACAGGCAAGGATTTATAACACCATTTATGTTATATTAGAAAAAATGGAAAAATTTTTAGTGATTCATGTTTGGATATTTTTTCATATTTATTAATCTCAGTCCTTAGTTTGTACAAAGAATAAACTAAAAATGTTCCAACAGATGCTACTCGGACTATGAAATTCCACATTTGTTAGTAGAAGCTGCTCCTTTTTGCGAGAGATGGGCTTTGGCTTTCTCAGAACAAGACTTCTTCTCTGGACTCCAAAAACCAGCTACATTATGATCGCTCCTCAATTCATAGGCATCCTTTGTATCAGTACGACCGAGTTTAAAATCATCATATCACTGGTAAATCGTTGTTTTCGATGGAGCAGAGTTCGGATAACATTTTTCAAGCCATTGCTGAGCTTGCATGGTATTCTTTCCCATTAAATAACAATGTTTTATCAAATACACGAAATTCGTATTTGTCCATTTTGGAAAAAAAAATGCAAAAGTAACCTCACTTTCACCGCAGTATATTTGCTGTTTATGGTGCGATTTCCGCTAAAATTTCACAGGTGTCACATGAAGGTTAGCTCTTTCGACAAATGAAGTTGCATTGGCATTACTGTTGCCGTTTGTGGGTGAGGCCCGGGACTTACTAAACCTTGTGTCATATTAGAAAAAATGGAAAAATTATTAGTATTTGGGTGACTCATGTTTGGATAGTTTTTCATATTTATTTATCCCAGCCCTTAGTTTGTACAATGAATGAACTAAATATGTTCCAACAGATGCTCCTCGGACTATGAAATCCCACATTTCTTAGTAGAAGCTGCTCCTTTTTGTGAGAGATGAGGTTCGGCTTCTCAGAACACAACTTCTTCTCTGGACTCCAAAAAACCAGCTACATGATGACCGCTCCTCAATACATATGATGTCGAACTATCTCATTACTAAGTCTGTTGACTGATCGATATTAGAGATTATTGGTATCATTACTTATACTTCCGAAGCCCATTGAAGAAAATGAGATATGGTGTTTGGATGTTATATGACATGTACATCACGAAAAACCATGTTCGGTCGGTCTGTGTGTCTGTCTGCCTGTCGGTCTATGCGCTACTCTTTTAACCGCCTATAACTTGATTGGGGAAGCTATCGACACCCTTTGTCCCTTCAACTGTACCCATGAATCACAGTTTACTCGATAGCTGGAAGCAGAGCGGAAAATAAGCCGTCACGCCGAATGGAGCTGCGACTGCGAAATGGAAACTCTTTAATTATTTTTCATTCCATTAGGAAGCAATTTCCTCGGATGAGTTTTTGTTCTACACTCACAGAGAGTGTTCTAGTAATGTAATGCTATCAGAGATCAGAACTGCGTTGTGGCTCTTGCTGTTGAGAGTTCATTCGTGCCATGTATTTGAATGTAGGATTTGGATGAATTTGGCATCCAGTTGATCAAGGAGGTTGGAATGAATGAATGAATCGGGAAATTAGAGGCATTCCGGCCACTATAAGGAGCCAGTGCATAGGCCGCTTAAACGGGCCCTTATGCACCTCTACATTCATTAGATCACAAGCCTTGCCCTTTTAGCGAAGTTGAGAATCGCATTGAGTCCAAGGTCCTTGACGTCCTGAGGGTCCAAAGTAATGGACCCCAGTATAGTCTGCCTATAGTAGCTCAGAGCTTCGCAGCGACACAAAACGTGCGCGGAGTATCTTCCTCTACCCTGCAGCGCTCACACCAGGGATCCTCAGCCACCCCCATCACGTGCAGGTGGCGCCTTAACGTGTTATGGCCAGACAACAGTCCCACCAGCAACATTAGGTTGGCTCTATCCAGAGATAAGCAGAAACGTCCATCCTTAGCACTGGGCCCTTCAATGAGTGCCCGTGCCGGGTGGAGATGTCTGGAGATACTTCTCCATTTCTGAGAGTGTTGTCTTGCAATCCACGTCTCCATTTTGCTCCTAGCTTTATGCGCGGTCACTCCTAAAGCTGGCTCAGGACCAACGAGCTTGCTGGTTTATCCTGTCTTCGCCAGCGCGTCCGCCGTCTGCTCCTTCTCCCAGCGTGCCCCGGTACCCACATTAACGATACCGGATGCCTCGTTGCGAGGCAATCCAGAGCTTCCCTGCATTGCAATACAAGGGTCGAAAAAACCTTACAGGTACTTACAGCCTGGCTGTCGGATAAGATTGTTATTCTGCTTGTAGGCCCACCCTCCTCCAGAGCATCCGCCGTCTCATTGCTCCTTCTTCCAGCGTGCCCCGGTACCCGCATTAACAATACCGGATGCCTCGTTGCGAGGCAATCCAGAGCTTCCCTGCATTGCAATACAAGGCTCGAAATAATCTTACAGGTACTTGCAGCCTGGCTGTCGGATAAGATTGTTATTCTGCTTCTAGGCCCACCCTCCTCCAGAATGCGAGATACACAAGCCACAATCGCAAAGATTTCCGCCTGGTAACTAGTGGTGTATCCACCGAGAGGCAGAGATAGCTTAGTTCTAGACCCAGAGACCCCAGCACCTGAGCCCTCTTCGGCGACCGAGCCGTCCGTGTACCAGACCCGGAGGGTCTCCGCCTACCGGCGTCCCTGTCTCGTTGGATAATCCACAATAAACTTGCGGTTGAAGCGATATTTAGGGGTAATACGATCACCTCTACTAACGGTGGGAGATCCAACAGAGCTTCCATTGCACTAAATGGCGTTATACGCATTGCGCTTGTAATGCTAATACTGGCCAAACGTTGAATTTTATTGAGTTTTGCCTTAGTTGTTTCAGTTCTAATGCAAGGCCACCAGACCAGGGAGCTGTACAAATGTACAAGAGAGATCTACGTACTATCGTCGTGTAGAGCCAGTATACCACTTTGGGTTTAAGCCTCCACCTTACACCGTCAACACGTCTACAGCCCCACATTGAATTGCGGGCCTTGCTAACCTTGTATTCAACATGCTCTCTCCAGTTCAGTTTGCAATCCAGGATAATTCCCAGATATTTCACTGATAGGGATAGAATTAATCTAGTCCCAAAGAAGGTCGGCATGAACAGCCCGTTAAGCCTTCGTCTCCTGGTGAATAGGGTCAGCTCGGTCTTTCCAGCATTAACAGAAAGCTCGACTTCCCTGCACCACAATTCCATAGAGCGCAGACTGCCCTGCATAATTTCAGAGACTGTTCTACAAAAACGTCCCCTAACTACTATGCTTAAGTCATCAGGATAGGCTTACACGTAGACACTCATAGCCTAACGAGGAGTTCGTTCACCACGATACACCACAGTAGGGGCGGCAGCTTACGTCATTCAGCATAGCTGTTGCTACCCGACCATTCAGAGTAGATAGAACAGAATCTATTAGGATTGACCCAACCCCGTGCCTAACCAAGGCATGTCTGATAGAGTCGGTTGTAGTGCTATTAAATGCACCTTCAATGTCCAACAAGGCCACGAGTGCCACTTCTCGCTGATCTATAGTAGAGTCTTCTCCAGCCTACCGACCAGATTGTGTATGGCCAGATCAGTCGATTTCCCAGCTTGATATGCAAACTGATTTGCATGAATGACACACTTTTCCAGCGGGCCATCCCGTAAGTATCAACTATCCTTTCCAGTGTCTTAAGCACAAAAGATGAAAGAGTAATCGGACGAAAATCCTTCGGGCCAGTATATCTAGCTCTGCCCGGTTTAGGAATGAAGGAGGTTAGAATAGTTTCAGCATGAAATTATTGTTCTACCTTTTTTTACACCGAAGCAGCCGCACAGGCAGAAGCTAGAGGGTGAATTTAAATATAGTTGGTCTTAAGATTTGTACTATGAGCTTTTACTGGTTGTGGGTCGCGGTCTTCTCTGCTTGCAAACTTGTTCAGGGTATGTGAGCCTCTGATCCACGCAACCCGCTTCCAAAGCACGTTTAAGATAATGATGATGAAACCATCACCTCACCTGATATATTCCTCAAAATTTGAAGTTCAACTTAATCATAACTTAATTCCGTACATAACCAATTCTAGTTCTTCTGTACTTAACGATTCAATAGTAGCAACTCACAGATCGCTGAATATGAAATTAATGAAGACATAAAATCGATTAATGAATATGCAAAAAATCATAACCTCTGACTAAATCCTACAAAATCAAAACGATTTTTTTTTCACGAAACCCTTTTAGAAATCATGTTAAAAAAACTTTAACGTCAGTCTAGATGGTGCTACTATCGAAGACAATGAAGCAGTCGAAAAATTAGGCAATTCTTTTCAATGAGTGTCCCACGTAAACAAAATTACTAAAAACTGCTTTCCAATCTTACGTCATTTAGATTTAAATAAGCAAATTCTCGATTATCAAAGTAAAAGAATCTTATGCGAATGATTAGTTATGTCCCAAATGACTCACTATGATATAGTTTACAATCAATTTTTAGACATATATATATTTTGAGGATCTCCCAACAAACATCAAATTCGCATTCAGCGCGTTGAAATATACTAAGTGACATATAAATCCGAACACCCAGTTTAAATGGTTTTATTTTAATAAAATTTTGTGTAAGTACTTAATGAAGCATAATAAGTAAATGATAAAAATTTCAAAATGATTGCACTGCTTTAAAGCCCTTTGACCTTTAATAATGTGTGGATGCACCCTGATGTGCTACGCATTCTCCAACGCGCCTAGGCATGCTTCTGATCAGGTGGTCAATATCCTCCTGTGGTATCTCATTCCAGGCAACCACCAACTCCTCTCGAAGTGCTTCTAGAGTCTGAGGAGGACGTTGCAAATTGAGCAATCTCCTACCCATCACATCCCACACATGCTCAATTGGGGATAAGTCGGGAGATCTTGGTGGCCATGGTAACAATGTGACATCATTATGTTGAAAGAAGTCTATTGTAATTCTTGCAACATGTGGTCGGGCATTATCTTGTTGGAAAGGTGGATCTGCCAGGGTGTCAAGATAGGGTAAAAGATGGGGTTCTAGAACTTCGTGGATATAACGCTGCGCGTTCATGTTACCTCTGATGAAGATTAAAGGTGACCTGGAACCATAAGCTCTAGCACCCCAAACCATAACTCCAACAGTGTGATGAACATGTCTTTCAACAAAAAACTGTAGATTCCTCCTTTCACTACGTCGCCTTCTAACCCTGGCACGACCATCGTGCATGCCTAAACAAAATCGAGACTCGTCACTAAAGACAATACTGTTCCATTCCTGATCCTAGAGTGACCGTTGTCTGCACCACTCAAGGCGATTACGTCGGTGTTCTCGAGTTAAAGGGAGGACCCAGTGTGGCCGATATGACAACAAGCCAAAACTTCTCATTCGTCGGTAAACACTTCGCATGCCAATAGGTCTTCCGTGTTCTGCAAACCATTCATTTGCAATGGACCTGGTAGTGGAGAAACGGTCCCTTAAGGCCAATAATCTTAGGCGGCGATCTTCACGGTCTGTTGTTCTACGGCGGCGTCCAGTGCCCCTTGCTCTTTGCGTACGGCCTTCTCGAAGCCATGCCTGACAACACCTAACCACAGTGTCTACACTTCTTTGCACTCTAACTGCAATTGCCCGAAAAGAAAGTCCAGCTTCCCGAAGTCCCACTATACGGCCCCTATCAAACTCACTAAGTTGACGAAATCGTACAGGTCTCCGTACT